CCCATCGATGCGGTTTTTAATGACTATTCCTCCTGGGATTTTCGAGAAAAAGTAGCTGAGGAAAGTAGGTGAGGGGGGGGGGCGATACAACGTCATGTCTGCTTCTCTCCCTTTTTTCAGCCACGTATTTCCAAAGCCTTATGGTGGACATACCTATCACTCACTGTACGTTTCGCTTACCTTGTGTTTAGGCTCCGTTTCACCAGTCAATGAGCTCTCATCAATTTGAAGCGAAAATGCCTCCAGAAGGCGAACATCAGCCGGCACTCGATCTCCCGTGTTCAACAATACCACATCTCCTGGTACCAGTTCACGTGCTAACAACGAATATTCCTTTCCATCACGTACTCTGAAGCAAATCAGCAGTGAAATGGAAATCCCGGGGAGAAAGAGGGGAGGGGGTAATGGGACAGTTATCTGGCAAAAGCTTACACATGGCACGCAGGTGGAACGAGTTTATTCAGCTGCTCTAGGGTTTTCTCGGATCGATACTCCTAAAAAAGAGAGGTCAGAGAAAATACAATTGACTGAAAATTTCCAGTGGCAAATAGAAAGTGCTTACTGTACCTGAATAAATCCTACTGTTACTACTATCACTACAGCTACCGTAATACTGATAGCATCGTCGTACTGCCGCATCAAAAGCGATACTATTGCACTAGCAAGCAGCAGAAGGATGAGGGGATTTTGAAACTGAAAAAAGACTATTAAAAGACATTTCTGTGCTCATAACCTTGGGGAGGGGGGAACACCTGTGAGCGCTTGTCAGACCGAATCCTGTAAACTGTACACAGTGAATACCGGAGAACCCTGTCAACCCCTCCCCCCCCCTAAGTCCTGTTATTACCTATCGAGCACCCTGTAAACTCCTGTCAAACTTGTGAAGATGACTGGTAAAGGTTTGGGAAATAAGTGTAGAAATTGCGTTCCAACGACGCTGGTACCGTTTCGCCTAGCTTGACAGGACTTCATAGGGAAGGGTTTTTTTATAGGAACTTGCAGGACTTGCAGGGTGAGACACGATTGTGAAAGGAGAAAAAAAAACAGAGAAAACGTCACTCTTTGGGCAAGCTAGCGGTGTGGCAAGCCCCTTTCCCCCCAAGGTTATCCGCGCCGATATTTCAGTGCAGGATCAAAATTACAGGAACAAAAACAAGATACCATACCTGTTCGGAGTATTTCTTCCATAACGGCTCCTGTTCTGTAACTTCGAACTCATTATATCCGTGATATTGCCTCCGTAACGTTGCCTCGGCCGATGATATTCCAGATGCGGCGTCCGAACGTAACATATGGACGCAATGCTGACAAAATGCAAATAATAAACACGACAAAAAATCCAAGAAATAGAAGAAAAAGGAATATCCGAAATGAGGGAGTCCCGCAGAAAACATTCGTAACAATTATAAAAAACAAACTAACCAAAAAACTCATGAGCGGACATGACCTGGCATTATTCTGCGGTTAAGGTCTTCAATCATGATGTCCCTTTTTCCGTACTGGTGCTCAGGGTTGGTACCTGTTACGGAATTTCTCTATGGTAGAGAGCAAAAAAACAAATATTATAGTCGAAAAAATATGGAAGAAACAGAACACAAGGAAAAATAATTCTTTTTCCACATCCTCAGATCAGATTCTAATTAAGATCTGGGTCAATCCTGGTCAGCAGAAATTATCTGACACGTCATTAAAAACGCAGAACCTCCCAAGCATTCAGTTGCCGTACTCTTAAGCTTCTACCTATACAAAAATGGAAGTCGAAAAAGACACCGTGATCATGAAGGGCACTACAAAAGCCCAAAAGGTGAGATATGGGAACTTTGAACCAGGGCACATCCTGCTGTTGAAGGAAATTTCTTCCAAATCACGACCCCTCCCAGAATTTCTTCCTTTTGTACAATTCTCTCCTTCCCCATCCTTACCATATTCAAAAATTTTCCCAACTTCCTAGCACTTTTCCGCTGTTCTTTTTCCCCACTTTTTCCCCGAAATAATTGCCGTTAAGCGGGGGGACTGGGTTATATAGCGCTCGTATACGTATATCCCGCATATGAAATAGGAAAAACCATGGAAAGTCAACACTAGAGAACACTTTTCTCAAAGACAAATTGCGGATCTCCCCAGCCCCCTCCTCCACAGGAAATAGCATCGTGATGTGTGAAATCACATTGTAGGTACGACCCCCCCCC